ATTGTAAAGGATACACTGTTGAGATTGATGTGGTAGTAAGGACCCTCGGGTGAGAATTTTGTCATGGGCCATCTACACGTACCTAGGTCAGTCATTTAAATTTCATTTCAATCTCTAATGCAATAAATGCTGCTGAACAAGAAGATCTGAATTTACCTATAGTCCTACCTCTTCATCCCTAACAAAAATGGGAAGTACTAAAGCTATTTATTTTTAATGGTCCTTAAATAACCATTTTATACACATGCATAATGGCATGCCTTAGTTTTGGTTACAAAGAAAATGCACCTCATACTTCCCCTACCACAAAGGGTGCAGGAGCCAGACATGACGCAGCCCTCCACGCTAGCCCAATCAATTGCTCACTTCTTATGCCACCCACTCTGTTCCTTCTGGCTGCTTCTATAAGGTGACAAATCACTCCAAGTCCATGCACAGCATTATCAGCTCTCTCTCTTCCCACACTTGCATTGTAGGGAAGATTATAATAAATTCTACATTCACATGAGAGCACCATGCCCAGGCCTGTGCATTTTCCAGGGCTAATTGCTGAGGGAAAGCCAATACACTAGTGCAAGTCTCATTCCAGTTTACATGGTAATTATATGCTAATGACTTCTGAAATTAATTCAGTAACCCCCATACTAGCAATGCAGGAGAGGGTAGAAAAGCTGAGATTTAATCACACTGTCTTATGGGACTCAATGTAAAATTTCTTTTATATAGGAATGGGGCCATCAATCGACTGAATGCATTGACAGCTCTTCCAGCTTAACTGTTAGGTTACACAGCAACAAAACCGCTGGTGGATGCTGGGTCAGAAACCAGCCACATCCAGGGCTCTCCTAGACAAGCCGAGCTTCTGATCTCAAAGAAGCCACAATGTATGTTCAATTATTCTCTTTTCCACTTTCTTTAAATTAACTTCATCTAAGTGGCTAAAAACAAACTCTAAATAAGTTTGGAATGATATGACAAAGTAAAGATGATAAAAACTACGGGCAAAGAAGGGAACTATGAAAACAATCAGGATATTGGTAATTTTAGCTCAAATGAGGACACACACACACAAGTATGGCTGGATAAACAAATAGACATGGCTTACCCTATTCCAGATGCAGTAAGTATAATCTAAAAGCCTACTGTAAATGCTGCCTATACAATGCAGTGTTCTACAATTTAATATACAACAATATCCAAACAATAGCAATTATAACACTGTCAATTTAACTTTCCTGGTACTCATCACTAAATCAATTTCCTATTCTCATCTCAAAAATACCAGATTTGATATTATAAACAAAATCCTTACATACCAAAGACAAATGACTGGAATTTTTTCTTACCTATAAAAAGAAACCAGGAAAATATTTCTCTTCATGGACTGACTTGTATCCTGCCAAAATATGTGTCAACTTGGCCAGACCATGATTTTCAGTGGTTTGACAGTTACATAGTGATATAATCATCCCCTGTGATGTGATCTGAAGTAATTAGCCTCAGTTGTAAGGGAATGATGATGGGATGCAACACTCTTACTTAGGACACAGCCCTGATCCAATGTAAGTGGAGTTTCCCTGAATTGTGGCCTGCAACATCTTTTATCTTACAGGAAATAAAAGGAGAGAGAAGTGAGCAGAGAAGAAGGGATCTGACTACTACTGAGAAAGCAGAGCTGGAACAGAGTGTGTTCTGTGGGCCCAGGGTACCTAAGTTGAGAACTTCTTCGTCTCAGGGAAGAATGATGCCAAGACACATGGAGATAGCCAAGGACTACACGGCCCACAGATATTGAAAGCAGACAAGGACCTTCCCGGAGAGCCGAGAGAGAGAAAAAGCCTTCCCCGAGAGCTGATGCCCTGAATTTGGATTCTAGCCTCCTAAACTGTGAGAAAATAAATTTCTGTTTGTTAAAGCCATCCACCTGTGGTATTTCTGTCATAGAAGCACTAGAGAACTTAAGATAGTTTCACATACGAATCTACTCCACTGTCATTCCCTGACCTAAAGTCAAAAAATTCTCATAAGAAGGTAAGTTGTCACTGGTTAAGAATGCAGTGTGCACAGTTTTTCCAGTCTCCCAAATGTTCAGGGTGCTCCATGGAGCTGTTGAAGAATGGAAAGATGACTTTCCTCTGGGACATATTTTTAGAGACAAATGTATTAATACATAATCTCCATTGAAAAGGGAGATAACTGAGGCTTAGAGAAGATAAATAATTAGCTAAAGATTTGTGACCGAAGATTCTGTATTCCATCTTTTACTTCGTGTGGTATCGTAATTTTATTTTTAAACAAGAGACTCAATGGTGCATGGAAGGGGAATTAACTTTTGCCATGTTTAATCTTCTTGCTCTCTGCATGTCTAAATGAAGATGAAGTTGCTATATAACAAGGAAAGGGCTACATTCAGAACCTCAAAGGAAGGAATAAGAGAGGCCCAATAAGACAATATGTTAGTGTGTTAACACCTAAGAGCATTCCTCCAGCTCACTAACCTAACAAAGAGATAACTGAGGAAATGATTTAATTAAGTCATCTATGTGTCAAGCACTATGCTAAGCTCCATAAATGCAACTGAAAGAATTTGGATAAGTTAAAGTAGGTTTTCCTTGTACAGTGTTGGATTCTGTGTTTGACCTATACAACAGTCTAATTAGTCTGCAGCCACTGCTCATTTGTTACCAGTATCTAATAAAATGTCAGACAAAGAAATAAAATACCAGCACTCCTGTTGGTCTGGATCCCACAGGACATTCCATCTTGAATCTTAATAAGGTACAGAGAACAGAACTAGAATCTTCATGTTCAAATTACAGTCTTTGGAATATATCATGCACTATAGGAAATCTGTGTCTATATATACATAACACAACAGAATGACTTAGTATACATGACTCCATAAAGACCAGAGTATCACAAATTAGGACTTTCCTGGATCTAAACAAATGGGACTTAGTTAAAGAACCACAAAGAGAACACAATATACATCAATGGCTAGAGACTGGCCCTGCAGTCTGGCAAGCCTCAGTTCTCATCCCAACACATCATTTAGTTTCGTAACATGAGGCAAGCTTCTTACCAAGTTTTCTTATTCATACAGTGGGGATAATAATTGAGTTTACCATATAGGACTGTTAAGGAGCTCTGGTGGTACAGTGGTAAAAGCATTCTGCTACCAATCAAAAGGTGGTAATTAAAACCTACCATGGGAGAAAGATGAGGCAGTCAGCTACCATAAAGATTAACAGCCTTAGAAACCCTATAAGGCAGTTCTACTCTGTCCTATAGGGTCGCTATGAGTCAGAATCAATTGGATGGAAGTGGGTTTATATACGGCTGTTAAGAATATTGAATACATATATATGTACAGTGCTAGTAATACCTCAATAAATGAACTCTTACTTTCATCATTATTATCACCACCATCACTTTAGTCTCACTTCTGAGGAAGTCTCTAAACACCACCCAAAGGAAATAAACGTATAGCAATAAACTATATTGGTTAAAACATACTGTCATCTTTATTTTTTAAATTTAATGGCTATGATAATCAGTGCTATTGCCCAATGTGGGTGCCCTTCATGATACTATATTACAGAAGAAAAAGAAAAGGAAATAATCACAGAGTGATTTCTTTGCAGGAACATGTTTTAGGTGGGGTGAAGCTACCGGGATGTGGTGGAGAGGGAATGCTGGTGGTTTCACAGTTTTGTCTGACCAGCTTTGGTTGTAGACATTATTAAAAAACCCACTGCCACTGAGTCAACTCTGACTCATAGCAACCCTATAGGACAGAGTTGAACAGCCTCATAGGGTTTCTAATGCTGTAAATCTTTATGGAAGCAGTGTGCCTCATCTTTCTCCTGTGTGGAGAGGTTGGTAGGTTCAAACCATTGACCTTTTGGTTAGCAGCAAAACGTTTAACCGTTGCACCACCAGAGCTCCTGTAGATATTATTAGGCAAGTCAGCTTATGGTTGATTATGAATTCTATTCTGAGTCAGAGTCTGAAAATAAAATCATAAAAATGCAAAATCAGTAAGTCCACATTTCAAGTAATCAGTCTGACACTCACTGCCTCCATGATTCAGCTCCTCTACCTGTTCAAATAGTAAAGCATTTATCCAAGATACCATACAGCTTAGTGGTTAACAGAGAACTAAGAAGTCAAACTGCATAATCTTGAAAACCAACAGCATCATTAAGTCTGTGTTTCAACAGTAAAAGAGTTGCTGTGTTTGGCATTTAGTATATATTAGCTGTTCTATTTTTTTTATTTTGTTTTAAAAATATTTTTTCATATCTGTTTTCTTCCTCTAGACTGTGAGCTGTTTAACTGAAGAGACTGAACATACTCATTTCCTTTTCTGTCTGCATTATGATGGACACACAAAAACTCTTAGCTGAGTTTATGAACAAATAAATGAATGAATGAGTGGATATCAAAGTTAAGATGAACTCAAAAGAGAGAGCCTGAGTTAAAGTTTAGGAAAGCAAGGATAACTTTTTAAAATTATTGATGGAATCACCTAGGGAGTAATTAGTAGAGAGTCAGTTCTCTCTTTAGCTTCTCTTATTTCTATCTTATTCCCAAACAAGGAATGTATGTGATCTCTACCCACATCACCAAATTCACAGATATTAGCCATTCCTTGACAAAACAACTTTATAGGATTTTGTTGGCTCTACCATCATACCCCAAAACTAACAATATTAGATTAGTACTTTGAATTGATAGTAAAAACAAGCCTTTGGGCTATTAATGTTTCTATCACATTTTATATAAGGGAGCCGATATTTTGTGAGCTTAGTCTTTACTTAGGCAGCAAATAACATTTGTAAGCTATAAGCTGATTTTTGCTATTACTTTGCAAAATGACTTTAAATAGTTGAAGAAAAAATAATTTTATTAAAATTCTTCTCCCCTCCACTTTCCTATACACCATCTTGCACTCCTCTGCTCCACCAAAAGACAAATTTAACATAGATGCCTCTCACCTCTAACAGCTCATCTCCAATGCGCATCCTTCCATCAGTGGCAGCAGGTCCTTCTGGGTTAATTCCCACCACAAATATGCTCATGCGTGACCTGTCTTTATTACCAGCAAGGCTGAGTCCAAGTCCATTCTTATCCTTCTCAAGTTCAATAATATGCAATTCTCCAGGCAAGTCTGCATATCTTTGCCTGATTTTTTCTATTAAAAAAAGGGGGGGGGGTATATATACACAGTTTTGTACTATATATTTTACAGATATCTGCGTTTTTTTTTCTTTTTTGTGTTTTTTCTCTACTGTTTTTTTTTTCGAGAATGAAGTAATTAAGATAATGCATGGCCTTATGTGTTGTTGTTGTTGTTGTTATATGCCATCCAGTTGTCTCCGACTCATAGCGACCCCTCCTTGGGTTTCTGAGATGGTATCACTACAGAAGTAGATTGTCCAACCTTCCTTCTGAGGAGGGTCTGGTGAGTTTGAACCACCAGCCTTCTGGTTAGCAGTCAAGTGCCTTAGGTACTACGCTACCAGGCCTTATGTGTAGGTTACAGTTAAAAATCTCTACTCTACCTAAGAAGTTTAGCACGCCCATAAAATCTTCTCTAGTTGTTCAGGCTTACACAAAACTCAGTTTTCCATAGACTGTTTTTTACCCTAAGACATCAATACAATGTGGTGGAAATTACTGACTCCCCAAAAAACAAACAGCTATTTGCCATGCAAAGCGCTTGGTCCTGGTGATCTAATGTTGAACAAAACAGATGTGGTTTCTCCTTATGGACTTACAGTTAAGTAGGAAAGAAGATCAAAAATTAATTCTAAATAATTATATCTATTTAAGTTGCACAAAGAGTATAAAATAACACTGGGTGTCATATAAGCAAAAACAAGGGGAATTGAGGATATTGTTTTTGCTGACTTGAATTTGAGCCACTAATCTACCACTTACTCAATGTTCACTAATTAACATACTATTTTATCTCTATGGAGTTGAGTTTCTTCATCTGTAAATTAAGCATGATAAAATCCATTTCATGCTTGTTGGGAAAACTCAATGAAATATATGTTGGTGGATTTCATAGTTCATATTATAGGTGTTTTCTAATCCTTGTATCCCATCTTCTCCCTCACCTGGCCACATCCTCTTTATGGTCTAAACTACCTGACTGAGAATTGGGCTGGCTATGTTTCACATGTGTTGGCTCTCTGTAAAAGAGTCACACTGGCAGATCAGTGTGGGCAAAGATGCTGTCTTAATTTTTTTTTGTATCCCACAAAGCACCAGCTCAGGGGCCAGGGCTCAGAAGGCTTGATGACTACTACTATTGTTTGAAGCAACCATCTTATCAGCTGAATAACAAAGTAGATTGTGGCTCTCCTGGAAATCTCTAACCTCAGTTTAATGCTTGATTTGGGAGCGCTAGTAGCATAGTGACTAAGGCACTTGACTGCTAACCAGAAAGCTGGCAGTTCAAACCCACCAGCCACTCCTCAGAAGGAAGATGGGGCAATCTACTTCTGTAGTGATACTGCCTCGGAAACCCAAGGAGGGGTCACTACGAGTCAGGTCTGACTCAACTCAACTCAACTCAACTGGCACATAACAACAACAACAACAATGCTTGATTTACATCATGTTCTCTGTTCTTAGGAGTGAGCCTTCCCAAATTGAAACTGTAACACAAATAATTAGTTGAAACATGAAGAGAGGAGGAAGACAGTCCAGCCAATTGTATCACTTTACAAGACTTAACAAACACAGCTTTATAAGTGAGAAATTTAAACTCATAAAAATGACTTTATGCATACATTTATAGTAAAAGAATTAAGTATAATGCTGCTTATTAAAAAAGGAGAGTAAACCTATCTGCTTTCCAAGAGTTAAGATAATTTCATTAATAATGCTTATTAATAAAGAACATATTTAACAAAATATAGTAACATGAAGGACTTGCAACTTAACAAAACTTTTCTCCATGTAGAAAGGTAAAATCATGGTACATTGAAATGAACACACTGAAGATATTTTTGTTGGATAGTTATGAAGAACAAGACATTGTGCTGATATTTTAATGAAGGCATGAGGTATCTTTGAGATGCTTATGTAGCACAATATGGGAGGAAAACATAAATATAACAAATATTAAACAAATACAAGTATTCAAATAGAAATTCCAATCACCACAGGTACTATCACAAATCAGTGAATAAATACTAAATAAATTGTGCCAGAAATAATTGCTTTTAAAGTTCAAAGAACTAATAGGGTTAGAAGAAAGAAGTCTTGAAAGAACTGAATTTTGAGTTGGGTCTTAAATAAGGCACAGAACTTAATTACGTGAAGAATTCCTGGTGGGTGGAACAGCAAGAAGAAAAGCATACAAACAGGTGGGTGAGAAAGGGAATTTGAGAATGGTTTTGACTGCAATTGGAAGCTCTTTGGGTAAGTGGGTAATAAATAACACTAAAAGGTTTTAAGGTTAAATAAATTGATAGGTTGTTACAGTATAATTTTCAATATTAGGAATTTTGCAAAGGTGCCTTGGGGTACACCCCCAAGGGTAGGGTTTGTGAGACCTCTTCCGCACAATTCACCCATGGCACTTATGCTATGATTTGCTTTGTTTATTAGATATATACAGAGGTAAAAAAGTTAAGAAATTTATCACAGCTAAGAAAATAAAATAAAATTTTAAACGCACTCCCCTGAGAAATAATAAAGCAGGAAAAGATTTCTTTTTCTGAAAAAAAAAAAAAAGAAGAGCAAGAAAAACAACAACATCACAATAAGATCAAGGAACTTAAAACCCAGTTCTTTTTAATAAGACACTAACTGAAAAGACTAATCAAGAAAAACCAAATATAAATAAATTCCAGAGCTAAAAAGAGGAAATAACTATAAATATATTTTTTAAATAAAAGATTATTACCGGTAATACATCAATATAAACTCTACAGTGGCACATTTTAAAATCTAGATGACAGATAAATTTCTGAAGGAAAAAAATAATAATGTCATATTTAGTGCAATAATAAATATAAAACTCCAACAGATTAGTGGTAATTAAGAAAACTGAAATAATAGTCAAGGATATTCCTTTCCAGAAAAAATCCAGGTCTAAATAATTTTACATTTGAATTCAATAAATAATAAATAACTACAATAATTTTTATCCTGTGCAAATTGTTCCAGAATGTGGAAAACGTGTAAAATCTGTCCAGCTTAATTTTTGAAGCTGATGTATCCTGATCCTGATTCCAAAAGTAGATAAAGACAAATCAAGCAAGGAAAATTACAGGCTTATTTCACTTACAATCATAGATACAAAATTGTTTTTTTTAAAAAAGCTAATTTAATTTAGGATTATATTAAAAATACTTATTTGACTTCTGATACACCTAATATTTGACCATTTTTAACCTAAAAAAAATAGCCATTTCAAATAATTCAGCCTAAGAAAACATTATGAAGAAGGGTTTACTGCAAGAATACAGTAATAGTTAAATATCAGGAAACTTTTCAAGGAAAATCACCACAATAATAAACTGAAAGAGAGAAAGCTGAAAGATTACACTAACAGATGGATTCAGTGTTCTATCAATGTAAAAGATTTCTAGATTCAAACTAGTCTGGACTTGTTCAACTCCCAGAGGATAAAAATCACCTTCTTGCCCCTATTCTATATATTCAAAGACCTAGACATTTAGATGATTAATAATAATAATCTCCCTTTGAGAAAATATGGCTTCAAAACCATAAATGATGAACAAGCCAAATTAACTGTGCTGAGAATAATATATCTCTATAAACACATTCTTGTGGTATAATGGAAAGAGCTAGGGTTTGAAGGGACCAAACTTTCAAATTCTAGCTGGTTCACCAAACCTGTTCCATGGGATGGATTACTGAATCTCTATATATTAGAAGTTTCTTACCTGTAAAATAGGATTGCTGCTTTAAAAATCAATGCAGGGCTTCAAACTGGTTCATTCCAGTTTGACCTTCTGCTGAAAATTTTCATTTCTAGAAGGTTGGGCAATCCTACTTCCGTAGTGATACGGCCTCGGAAACCCAAGGAGGGGTCGCTATGAGTCGGGGCAGACTCGACGGCACATAACAACCACCACCCCAGACATACTGAATCAGAATCTACATTTTAACAAGGTCCCCGGGTGATTCTTCAATACACATCTGGTTACAATGTAGATTCTGGTTCATCGTACCTGAGGTGGAAATTAAAATTCTCAGCAGGGAGTCATTTGGAATGAATTGGTTTGAGGCCCTGAATGACTATTACATTTAAACATGCCTGGGACATAATGTCTAAATAATGTTAGAGGAAAACTAAAACCACGATTTTGTTCTGGTTACATTGAGATCTTACGTGAACCTTATATTGGTAGCAAAGCTACTCTTTTCTTTCACTTTGTCTACCTTGAGGCAAATTGAGACTTGTGAAATGAAGCAGCTCCCCTCCATGATGGCACGAAGCAGGCAGTCACACAGTCCTTCAGTGGGAATCATTGGAGGAAAGGGCTACCATCATCCTTCCCCAGATTTTCTTCCCTGAGCCCCTCATATTGAGGAGACCCAGGTACAAAGATCATCTTCTGGATAAGGTGTTCATCCTATGGTACATAGGCTTCTGAAGGGGCTTTAAATTTGTGTGCTACTCAAATGTGGCATCAGAACCCTTTCTATAGGCTCACAAGACTCTCCAAGAATACTGACTCCCATGTAATACCCATTCAAATGTCTAAGTTGAAGATTTATTATCCTGGGCTTTTGAAACAAGCAGCCCTATTTTTCTGGCCAATATTTTGTTTTGACACCACTATAATCACATTTATTCAATTAACAAACATTTACTGAACCCAATTTTATGTCATGTTGAGGATACAAAGGGAATACACTAGGGAATTTGCTTTCAAGACCTCAAAATCTACCACTGGAGACAAGCATTTATGACTGATTATAATTCAGAGCAGGAGCTCTGGTAGCGTAGTGCCTAAGGCTCTTGACTGCTAACCAGAAGGCTGGAGGTTCAAACCCGCCAGCCACTCCTCAGAAGGAAGGTTGGGCAATCTACTTCCATAGTGATACTGCCTCGGAAACCCAAGGAGGGGTTGCTATGAGTCAGGTCTGATTTGACGGCTCATAACATAACAGCATAATTAAGAGCAATAATACTTATGAAAAAAAATACCAGCCCCTGTATCAGCAATCTATTTTCACACACAGCATTGTTCCATAACATTGGTTACAATCCTCACAGTGGGTCAGTCCTCTCATCATGTTCACCCCACCTGCAGAGTTACCATTCATCGGCTTTCCCTGCCTCTCCTTGCCTTCTCATCTTTGTTTTTGGGTAAATGCTAACCTTTTGGTCTCATATATAGTCAATCATTTAAAGGGCCACATTCCTCACAGGTGGTGTATTTATTTTATATACCAATCTATTATTTGCCTGAAAGGTGATCTCTGCAAGTAGCTTCAGTTCCAGGTTAAAACAGTATCTTAGGATGGGTAGTGGTGGTGGTGGTGGGGTTCCTTTAGTCTGAGACTATTTTATTTAACATTTCCAATAACACTCAACCAAGCTTCTTCCAATTCCCACCCCCCTCCCCCGCCCAAACATTAGCAAATGAGTTGTTCAGCTTTCTTTGATTTCTGTTTATTGCTTTTTTTGTTTGATTTATCCTTTTATTTGCAGGAGAAAGGAGTAGACTAAACAGAAAAAAATGCTCAGTACAAGGGGGTTAAACTTGGGACAATAAAGAGTTGCACATACATAACTGGTTACTAAGTTTTAATAATTATTTACCGGGGCCTATTGAGTGGCACCAACACGTGTCTGTAAGTTTGTCATAGACAAGTGTGTTGCTATGATGCTGGAAACTATGCCACCAATATTTCAAATTATCAACAGGGTCAACCATGATGGACAGGTTTCAGCAAAGTTCCCATGCTAAGAAGAAAGGCCTGGCAATAGACTTCTGAAAATTAGCCAGTGAAAACCCTATGGATCACAACAGAATATTGTCCAATTTTGTGCTGTAAGATGAGTCCCCTAAGTTGGAAGGCACTAAACAATAGCTGCAACAATAGACTCAAACATACTGTTTTGGTTACCTAGTGCC